TCACAAACTCATTTTCTAGAACCCAAAACTTATTTCTTCTTCAATTTCTGCTTCCCAAGAGCCTATATAAGAAGATACACTCACAGCATAAAAAACCATAAAAACGATTAAATAGCTCTCTAGAAAAATGGAGAACTCAAATATTTTTGCGATAGGAAACAATCAAGTGAATGAAGAGAAGCCTTCACCATGTGTTTGTCCAAGGTGTAACTCAGACAACACCAAGTTTGGTTATTACAACAACTATAAGGTATCTCAACCGCGCTACATTTGCAAAAACTGTCGCCGACACTGGACTCATGGTGGAACGCTAAGAGACATACCGATTGGTGGAAGTGGCCGTAAAAGCAAGCGTCCAAAGATAAATCAACCTTCCGTTTCTCAGGTAGTTTCTGTTGAGATCCAACAAGTTAATCACCACCAACCTTTCTTACATGTTCAAGAAACCAATGAGTTTACTGGAACTTCTGATTCTTCTTCTACTGTTGTTCCCGTTGGGAACCATTTCGGTTCTTTACCTGAAATTCATGGTGATATGGTGCTTCCAGTTCAAAGTTTGCCACCATTGGATTGTTTAGATTTCTCTGATGGATCGTTTTACCAAGATTATTGTGATGTTGAATCCAATGCTTTGATTGGTAATCCTTTGATAAACCAACCAATTGGTGGTCAAGTAAATAATTGTAACAATTACTGCATCAATCAAGACGTGCAGAACCGGAGCTGCAACAATAATATGAACATGAATCATAATGCTAGCACTAGTGGAAGCAGAGGATCTTCGGGCACTGATAACATGAACAAAAACAAATGCGTGCCGAGGTCTTTTTACCATATGGAGAAGCATTGTCCTTAAAAATTATATATTTAATTAACCCATTTCCTTTTCTTAATTTTATGTTTCATTTTTTTGCTGAGTTTTGTTTTTTTTAAGTGATGAAAGTTTCTGTCATTGTTTCTCAAAATGGAACACCTTTAAAATATATTATAAATTTATAAATACTTAGATGTGTCCAATTTATTATTTTGCAATTTACTCTCTTGAGTTTTGATCATATGGCAATACATTTTCCTTTGTTATAAATAAGACCTTGAGCAAAATATCAAACTTTAACTTCAGATCTGTAGCTTACATGTAAAACAAATACGTTCACTAGAAATCGACAATAATCTTGTTATAACATAAGTTAAGCTAGTTTGTGCATGTCATTTGATATATTTCAAAAAAAATATGATATTCTTTAAAACCAATGCATTTATGGTCAGGATGTTTGAGACTCCCTGTTTTTATGACTGAAAAAAATATTTTAGGACCATTGGTTAAATTTTTGATTTTGATTTTAAATTTTAAATTTATTTATATAAAAATAAAAATAAAAATATACACATATATCCATATTATAAAAACGAAAAAATTTTATTTTAGTTTGATTTATTCTATATTCTATTGAGCGAAAATCTCATAACTTAAACATACTAGCAAAGCAATTATACCATTGATAAGTTAAGATTACCTGTCAAAATATGAAACTAACAGATAAAATAACATTAATTCATTCTAGGTTAGAATCTAAACCACGCGTGAACGCAAAATATTTTTTTTTGTAAACTAGATTTTGAAATATATAAATTACATAAAAAATTTTGTAGACTGAATTTTTCAAACTACAAATAGAAATGAGAAATAAGATCTAATTGAAGTATTATAGATTCAAAGATGTTGATTTTTTTGGTTGTTAGGTTTTTGGTAAGAAAATGATATTTGTGTTGATTTGTTGTATAATATGTGTTTCAATATTTATACCATATTTCTAATTGGCGCTATCCAATTCTAATATGCATTGTGTGGGACAATAATTTATTATACATTAAAATTTATATTGAATAAAAAAATCTTTAGGTAATCTAAACACTAACAAAAATAGTTTAAAAACTACAATGAAATTTTTTATTCCTTAAATGATAGGAACTTTTGTTATCTAAAAAAAATTATAAATTTATAAAGTTACCATATGTTATATATTAGAATAATAAGTGTACGAGTTAGTATAGTATATATCAGCTGATTGATTATGATAAAATAAATATAATAACATATTTATTTATCATTTGCGCTATTGTGAAAGTATTATTTAATTTTGAAGAGTTAAATTATTTCTAATTAGAATCTAGTAATTATTTTTAAAAATAGTTAATAACAATTAATTTTTGTGATTTTTTTATATTGGAATGTAAGCATTTTACTTACATTGAAAAAATCTAAAATTGATCGTATTAATATCCATAATTTATAATTAAATAAAAATAAAATAAATTTATTTTTATTGTATATTAAACCAAACTGGATTACTATTAGAATAGTTTTCAAAATTTATTTTTAAAAATAAGAGTGTTTGGATGCAAAGACTAAAATTGCATCTGTTTTAATAGTATAAATGTGATATATATATATATATATATATATCTATCTATTCTTGTAGTTCTTGTTCATAGTTTTAGTGAATTATTACTTGTAAAAACTGTAAATTAAAATATTTTACATTTTTCCTTTGTAATGTCAGTTAGAGCAGTTATTAAATATTTTTAATTATTTGATAATTTGTGTTGTTGAAACGATAATCTCTCAAATGCAGCTTAGATAAAATATTAACGTTGATGTTATTCTAAATTCATTATATGATAGTACATATGTTTACAATTTAAAACAAATTTGAGTATAACTAAGTATGAAATACAAGTATATATTGAATACTACCATTCCTTTTGACTCAATGATCCTACCATTTTGAAATGGAATATTTTTAGAATGTTGGTTTGTTATTTCCCCACTTTTATGTACAATATTAAAAATGGTGATTTGCAAGAATAATAGTTTCTAAAAAAATTAGTTATCTACCATAGAAAAGTAGTCAATTAGGTAAATGACAGTAGTCCACTGTCAAAAAGGTGAAAAAATATCGAAAAACCCCTTGCACATTAATATGTAAAAACTGCAACATTTTCTCATTCTTCTGCCACTGAAAGACAAAAAATATCTATTTTTTTTCTCTTAACAAAATAGATGACTATCGTGACAGTTAAAACATATGACTATTTTTTGGCTTCGTTAAAAAATCAATTGACTATTACGACAATGTAGATGTTCGAGTAGTTTTTTTGAAACAATAAAGCATCATAGTTATGCTAATGTAGGTGCTCGAGTATATGACTACTGAATAAATAGTCGTCTAAATGTAGATGCCTATAAATTTTGTTTTAAAAATACTTATGCTAATGCTTATGCTATAATATATACACATAAGAAATTTTGTTTTTAAAATACTTACGTTTGATGTGGGAAAATATGATTTTATGTTTTTATTAGTTATATTTATTATTATTATTGTTTTTAATATATAAACATAAGATATTTTGTTTTTAAAATACATATGCTAATGTAGGTGCTCGAATATCTGACTACTGATGAAATAGTCACCTAAATGTTGACGACTAATTCATCACCAAATCACTCATAATACCCACATTAAAACAAAATGAAACATTAAGACATCATAACTATTTTGGTATTCGAGTAGGTGACTACTAACAAAAAGTAGTCGTATAAATATAGACGACTAACTTATCATCAAATCACTAACAATAAGCTTATGAGATAAAAAAAAATTGAAGCATTGAAGCACCATATTTATGAAGGTATTCGAGTAGGTGACTACGGACAAAATAATCGTATAAATGTAGATACAAATCACTAACGATAAGCACATTAAAAACAAAATTTTGAACCACTAAAGCATCATAGTTATATAGGTACTCGAGTATATGGCTGTGATAAAAAATAACCATACTTATGTAGGTACTCGAGTACATGACTATTGACAAAAAAATAGTCGTCTAAATATAGACAACTAATTTATCAACAAATCCCTCACGATAAACATACATAAAAAAAAAATTTGAAGCCTTAAAGCACCATAGTTATGTAGGTATTTATTTTATTCATCTTCTTGTTGCAATCTATCCAATCATGTTTATTGTTTCAATATCCATGTCTGAATAGTTAGCTTGTTAGGTTTAGGGTTCTCATTAAGGTTTTCTCTAGATGTCTGATTAATTGATTTAGTTAGGGTTCATAATCCTGTTAGTTCTTCACCATAAGTTGTTCTTAAAGCTAATTCTGGACTGATCACCTAGAACTTAGATCTTAGGTTGCTTAATTGACACAGAAGTGTAATTGAATAACTGGAAAGAACCTAAGGTGAGCAAAGTAGCTATTCGCAAAGGAATTTGGTTTAGATACTTTGTGAACATATCAAACTTGAGCATTAAAGCTGGTTTAAATCTTTAGGGTTTGCAAAGGAATTTGGAATTCTAGGATTTTAACTTAGATTATTCTCACAACGGAAGTTGGCTAATTATAATTGTGTTATTTGAGTTCAAGAACCATTCTTAAACCTGAACCCGTACTAATCGCTTGATCTGCATTAATTGATTTCATGAGAAACGCCCTAACCCTAATCTCCATCCATCTGAATCTTACAAACGTTTCTGCTGCTTAGTTTTTTTCTGTTGCATCGCTGTTTATTTCTTATAAATCTGCTTCGCGTAATTCAAATTCTATTAGATTTATTGAGTGAATTCTGGTCTCTGTGGTTCGACCCCTGCAATACTATAACTGCACTTCTGTGCTCTTGCAGAGTAGCTTAGGGATTAAACTTTGAGCAGATCAAGTTTTGGCACCGTTGCCGGAGACTTGATTTTGCCATCAAACTTTAGTTTTTGAGTTTCAACTAAGTTTTTCTTAGTGTCGAGCGACGCGCGACACCTTTCTTTTTTATAACCTATTTTACTAACTTCGTTTTCTCTCTCTTTGTCTTTTGTGTTTCAGGTTTATGCATACTCGCGGAACCAGAAGCAACAAGGACATACCGCTAGTGAATTTGAACAACGAGGAGCTAGCTGAGTTAGAGCGAACGAACAGAAAAGCAAAGAAACCGGCAGAGATGGAAAACGCAAATGGACTTGTTCGTGATGATGCTGGAATCTGGAGGGACCAAGAGGGTCATGTGTGCAATGAGAGAGGCCAACGACTTGATGGAGATGGTAATATCATTCCACAGGAACCTTTACCTGTGGATGTTGTTAACGCAAATCCACCACCTGCACCACGTGGTAATGCTGTGATCATTCCAAATCAGACGAATGTTCCAGAAGACCAGAATGTGAGGGAACCTGCACCTGCAGCTGCTCGTGGAAGAACACTTGGAGACTACAACAGGCCTGAGCAGTTCTATGCAAATCGGTCCGCGATTCCCGCCCCTGCATTTCAAAGGAATGATTTTGAGCTGAAACCTGTGTACTACACTCTTGTGGGTCAGCATCCCTTTCATGGTCACTCTCATGAGCACCCTATGAATCACATCGAGAGGTTTGAGGACCTTGTCACCAGCACCAAATAAAATGGAGTGTCCAATCATTTCCTCTTCTGCAAGCTGTTTCCTTATTCTCTTGCTGGAGAAGCAGCTAACTGGTTGAAGCAGTTGGAGCCAGGATCACTTACTATCTGGGAAGAGATCAGGAACGCCTTCCTGCATAACTTCTATGATGATGCCAGACCTGAAGAGCTGAGACTCAAAATCTCGACATTCTCTCAAGGACCAACTGAGGCGTTCAAGGCTGCTTGGGTGAGATTCAAATCATACCAGCGAGATTGCCCCCATCATGATTTCAGCGATGTGCAGCTGTTGGGTATTTTCTTCAGAGGTGTTGATTAGAGGTATCAGATGGCTCTTGATGCAGCAAGCAATGAAAATTTCAACACCAGATACCCTGAAAAAGCTGTTGTGCTCATCGAAAACTTGGCATCTAGCAATAATTCCAAGAATGCTGATAATGAGCGAAAGAAGCACACTGGGAACATGGATGGATTGCAGATTGCTGAGGTGAAGGCTAAGCTTGACTATGTGCATAGAGTTTTAGTGGGTAAGAAGTCTGTCCGATTCGCACAGGAGGTAGAAAGTTTCGAACCAGAAGATGAAGCTGAGGAGGAAATGTCAATTTTGTCAATGGATCATGGTTTCAAGGTCAGAGGTTTGGTAATCAGCAAGGTAACAGAAGCTTCAATGGAAATAATCAGAGGAGCACCTTCACCAGTAATCAGAACTTCTCAGGTTACACGCCTAAGCCTTAATACCAGAAGTCCTACTCCAACAACAGTTTTTCCAGAAACTATGGCATTTCTCCAACTCAAACTCAAACTCCTGACAATGAGGTGAAGTCGATGCTGGAACAGATTCTGGAAGTACAACAGAAGCTCACCATGGACTTTAATGGAAAGATCGATGCTCTCTACCTTGATCTGAATGGGAAAATCGAGGCTTTGAACACCCATGTCAAGCAGCTCGATACACAGGTTGCTCAAACTGCTGGTTCTGTTAAAAGGCAAGAATTTTTTTTACCTGGAAAGACTGACACCGATCCGAGGCCCCACTGCAGTGCCATCACATTGAGAAGTGGTAAAAAGTTGATTTCTGAGCCCAAAAAGACGTCTTCTGCTGCTGAAGTCATGGATTTGGAAGATCCTGAAGAAGTTCCTGAAGTTGCAGAGCCGGTGTCGAGCGACACCACAACTAGTGTCGCGCGTCACCAATCGCAGAGCAGAGCTGATATTGTTCCAAGTCCGAAATCTGCTGAGGAAAAGGTTTACAAACCTAAGGTTCTTTACCCAAGGAGCTCTAAGAAATCCAAGCAGGAGCTAGATGATGCAAGGTGCAAGGCTTTGATGGAAAAGCTTGTGATTGAGATACCTTTAGTTGATGCTATGAAGATCACTCTTGTCATCAGACGCTATGTGAAGAGGATGGTGACCAACAATCTCAGCCATGAACAGGGAGTGATGATGATTTCTGAGCATGTCAGCGCTGTGATTCAGAACAGGATTCCAGAGAAATTGTCTGATCCAGGAAGCTTTGTTTTGGATTGCTCCATCTTCACGGAGATATTCAAGAGATCGCTATGTGATCTGGGTTCAAGTGTCAATCTCATGCCATACTCAGTAGCTGTCAACCTCGGTATGACTGATTTCAAGCCAACGAAGATCTCTCTTATCCTAGCTGATCGATCGACGAGGAAAACTGAAGGAGTGCTGGAAGATGTTCCGATCAAGGTTGGAGATTGCATGATACCAACTGATTTTGTCGTCTTGGAATATGGAGAGGAACCCAAGGATCCTTTTATCCTTGGGAGACCTTTGCTAGTGACTGCAGGTGCAATCATCGATGTCAGGAGGGGTCGAATTGCTTTGAATGTTGGGGATTTAGTTATGAACTTTGACATGGACAAGCTGATGAAGAAGCCCACCATCGATGGTCAAATCTTCTACGTCGACACACTCACAGGCTTCGCAGAGGAGATGTTCCAGGAAATGCACCCTGTAGATCCACTGGAGAGAGCTCTGATCTCATCTGTGTCTGAAGCAGAGCACCTGGACGAAATTACAGCATTATGATGTGTGATGTCGTGAGGGTTGTCAAGTTTTACCCTAAATGAAATCAATAGCCGCAAGTGCACAGCTGATCGATTGTAGTACGTAGGGATCGAATCCACAGGGAAGGAGGATCTTTTCTGCAAAAGCCTTTGAAAGAAATATGAAGTAAGGAAGTCTAGAACCAAACGGTTTTGTGGGGGTTTTGGTGGTGAGTTTAAAATGTAAAAACGAATCCTAAAGAGAAAATACGGAATTAAAATGACCTAATAACTAAACTTAACGAAAACGGGTAAAAAGGGGAAAAACGGCTAATCTAATTGCTTAAATGAAAATCGATTAAAAAGGAATGAGAATATTGAACTAAAGCTTGAAATAAAAACGGTGTGAATCTATAAGGAAGAAAGCGCTAGGGTTCAGGGAAGTTTTCTCAGGGGTACCAAGGATTCAAAACATTGCTAGAGAGTAAAATTGATAAGATCATAGCTTAAACTTTTCGAACTGGAGCCACGAACGTATGAATACGCCACTGTCGTGATCATAGACAACTATCTCTCTCAACCCTGACCAGTAGGTTTCCACTCTGGTCCTGGAAAAGAAGAGATGCATTATGTTTAAGACTCGTCAGCATTCAAAAATCGCCCATAGGTAGGTTTCCACTCCTATGTTTGTTTTGCTCTCCCAAACTAGATCTGACACCGGATGAACACTTTCGTGTCACCAAGCATCTGGATCAGATTGTAGTTCATGACGCTACTCTCATGCAGTAAAAACGAATTCAGAAGAAAAAGTTCTAAGATTCGGCTCAAAAGCTCATGGAATCCTCATCGAACATATAAATCCCCATCGAAAATCCCTTAGTCCCAAAAATAAAACTACTCAGACATGATGAACGAAATAAAAAACATAGTATTAAGAAGTAGAATAGAAACCGAAATTGAAAAATAAAGAACAAGGGTTCAACAGACAAATCTCTCTCTCCCTAAAACCTAAAACTTAAAAAGTATTCTAAAACAATAAAAACATATGAAGGCATACGAATTAGGGTTCCTAAAACATGAATTTATATTGCTCAAGACATCTCTGGGCGTCACTTAGGGTTTTTCCAAATGAGGGAATCATTTTGGACTTCAGAAATGGGCCTTCGGGGTCGAAGGTAGTTGGCCGCGGTCGGGATGGCTGTGACCGCGGGAAATGGGTTGCTGGCCGCGGTCGCGGTGCTTCTGACCGCGGGAAATGCTCTGCTGGCCACGGGTGGAAACGCTTGCCGGCTGGTTTACGAGACATTTTGCTCTTCGCGTATCTTTTGATTGAACCGTTGGATTGCCAAGCTGTAAAGTGTGCTGGAAAGCTGATACTTCTATCTTTAAGATCTCCAAATTTGAGCTGGATCAGACGGTGAGAAGGCCTTCAATCAGGGTTGAACTTCTGACGGTTTGACTCTGAGCTGAAATCTGTTTTTCTATTTATTTTGTTAAGCTTTTCCCTAAGTTACCTGAAAAGAGTCTTGGAACTACAAATACTAGAAAAACATAATAAAAGTACTTGAAAGCAATTAAAAGCATAGAAAAAGTATTTCAAAACGATCCATAAAAGTGGTCAAAATATGGTGTTATCACATCATATGTCAAGATGCTGGATTCTAGCGAGAAAGTGATGCAGTTGGTGGCTCAAGAGGAATTGTTCCTGCAAAAGCCAAAAAGCTCAGCAATGGGAGTCAAGAAAAAGCTCATAATCTTGAACTCAAACAGCTTCCTGCAGGGCTAAGGTACGCATTCCTGGGACCTAATTCCACTTATCCTTTTATTGTCAATGCTTCCTTAAACAATGCAGAGCTCACCTTACTGCTAAGCAAGCTGCACAAGTTTCGCAAAGCTCTTGGCTATTCTCTTGATGATATTTAAGGTATCTCCCCGGATCTTTGCATGCATCGGATTCACCTGGAGGATGAGACGAAATCGTCAATTGAGCACCAGAGGAGGCTGAATCCAAATCAGCAAGAAGTGGTGAAGAAGGAGATCATGAAGCTGCTGCAAGTTGGGATCATCTATCCGATTTCAGATAGTGTTTTGTTCAGTCCAGTGCACGTGGTTCCTAAGAAAGGAGGAGTCACAGTTGTGAAGAATGAGAGGAATGAGCTGATTCCGACGCGAACAGTGACTGACCACAGGATGTATATCGATTACCGGAAGCTAAACGCAGCAACCAGGAAAGATCACTTCCCTCTGCCTTTCATCGATCAGATGCTGGAAAGATTGGAAAATCATCCGTATTACTGCTTCCTCGATGGATATTCAGGGTTTTTCCAGATCCCTATTCACCCAGATGAACAGGTGAAGACCATCTTTACATGTCCATACGACACTTTCGCATATCGCAGAATGCCTTTTGGACTTTGTAATGCTCCTGCGACTTTCCAGGGATGTATGATGTCCATCTTCACTGACATGATCGAAGATTTTATGGAAGTCTTTATGGATGATTTCTCAGTTTACGGATCATCCTTTAAAGACTATCTGGACAATCTCTACAAGGTATTAGCTCGATGTGAAGAGAAGCACTTGGTCCTTAATTGGGAAAAGTGTCATTTTGTGGTCAGAGACGGGATTGTTCTTGGGCACAAAGTTTCAGAAGCTGGGATTGAGGTAGATCACGCAAAGATCGACGTCATGACGAACTTGTAACCACCAGATTCTGTGAAATCAGTAAGGAGTTTCTTGGGACATGCTGGGTTTTAGCGAAGATTTATCAAGGATTTCAGCAAGATTGCAAGACCACTTACTGCTCTGCTGTGTAAGCACGTCAAATTTGAGTTCACAGATGAGTGTCTTGCTGCTTTCGAACAGATCAAACAGGTGTTAATAAGTGCTCCTATTGTGCAGCCCCCTGACTGGAATTTGCCTTTTGAGGTGATGTGTGATGCCAGTGATTTCGCAGTAGGAGCTGTTCTGGGACAGAATAAGGACAAGAAACTTCATAAAGTTTATTATGCCAGTCGAACCATGGATGATGCTCAGAGGAACTACGCGACCACCGAGAAATAGCTCTTGGCTGTGCTACCGCCGAACGGTCCCTACCATTACGTTTTCACGGTGTTGACACCATTTCCCAAGTAGGTCTTCATCGTGGGCTTGGCCCAATTGGAACTTCATGGTTTTAGTCCGTAGTTGCAAACAATAATGGATTTTTCTTGTTAAAAGGCCCAGTAAAAAGAAGTTCATGACGTTTGACAAATATAGCTCCGGCTTTTAGCTTCAGGTACCTTCTTCCGTTACGACAGAGAGACCAATTCCAATAAATCCCTCTTGGGAAGCTATTTGGATTAACTTCCTCCAGTTGGGAGAGATCGTTTTCACCTTCCTCTTTTGGGAAGGGGGGTAGGGAGAGAATTTTACTGCCATGTTTCCTCTCTATGAGAGACATTCTTTTACGTTACATTGTAAAGTGACTAATCTTAGACACTCCAGCTTTGCCATGAAGTTTCAACTGACACATTCAAGCTTGGCCTCTAATTCGTTCAATCTATCAATCTCTATCTGTTTTAAGTTTAATCTCCTCTATTTTGTATGCTAGTTATCATCGAGGATGTAACATTCCCTCTTATTATACTCGTGAAGTTTAAGTGAATGAAACAAATGGTTGAACAAAAAAGAAGTTTCATAATTAAAAGTAAATTGAACAACCCCAATTATACATTTGATAATTTGGTTTAACAAATATAAATAACAGATGAACATTATTTATATGAGATGTGCTAGCATGTAAATAAGATAAATCTACGGCTATCAAATACAACTTGTACATAGAACTAAGTTTTGATTACGTCTGTTTATGTGTTCTTCGAGTTTTAAGTGTTTTATCTCTTAAAGTATTGCTCTGTTTTCAGTAAGTACTCTGTTTTGAAACTACACTTGCTTTGATGTATGTGAGCTGCATTAGTGAATATATAAGATAAATCTATGGTATGTCTAGAATGTCAAGTCTCTCTTTCTTCCATCAATCTTAAATTTGGTCGACTGTCAAAGATTTGGTATTCTAAGGTCATAAAACTATTTATCATAGTGTGTGGTTCGGCTAATTTTTATTTTTTATTTTTACAATATTGCTTATTTGCTTTTTATCCCATCTCACCAGTAAACAACTTATTATCGGTTAGAAATAGTTATTGACCGTTTTGAGCTTTAAATTTGTAAATTATTTTAGTCTAGTTTGGTAAACGAACAATTGTTAGATTCTGGCGCAAACCCTTTTCAAGTATAGACTCTTTTTTTGCCTCTTGTTATGTTTGCTAAATGACTTTTAAATTTAAGTTTCTGTTCTTCCCTCTCTACTTTAAAGTTTAAACACTCTATGAGATCTATCGTTACTAGGAGAAAAATTGATTAAATCCCTTAAAAAAGATTTATGGAAAATTGGTTACTTGATATAGAAACTTTCCTATATGAGTTTCTTGCTTTCTTGGGATTACTAGTATGATATACTCACACACCCTCTTTCACCGCTATAAACTTTCAACATAGTTTTTCTGTTACACATTTCTCATATGTGACACGAAAAACAATTGTCAACATATCTACTAACACACATATACATGTTTTCTTCTTGATTCAAAATGAGTGACTATAAATCTGCATAAAATTATTTATCTTGATGTTTTTTCCATTTTAAATATTTTTGTTTTTGAATTGAATATAAAATATATTAGTTGAAAAGGATAAATAAACTTAAGAGAAAAATTTTTAAATAAAATAAGAATTTGGAAAAAGTTTTTTTTTGTTTTGGTTGAGTCTCTTCTCTTTTTAATATGGTTTTGGTATTGAAATTTGTAGTATTGCTACTCATTATTGGTATCTGTTTTAAATATTAAACACATGTGCTAACCACATTATCTCTCTCTCTTAATGAATCACTACTCAATCTCTAAATTTTCTAAAACTATTTATGTGTTTTGTCTATTTCAAAAAATATGTTATTTCCTATTGTGGTTGAGTTTATAGTTTTCTTAATATTGGGTATTATAATCT